CAAGGATTATAATTTGGGTCAATACATCCAGGCAAAAAATGTTCCATTTTCTATTTCCAATAAAGAAATTAAAAGGAACCCTCTCTTACTGGTGATTAATGAGAGGCTGAGCCAGGTTAGATTAGCCTGTTGCAATGTCTTCCTGACAGCAACTGTTCTTCACCAGTATTTCCAAGCTAGTCTAACATGAAACCTGTGGATGGAGAAGTGAGTATACTATTCATTCCATAAAGGACTGCAACTGCCATGCAAATCAGAATCCTGCAGCTTAGCAGTGAGGGCAGGTCTTTCCTCTCAAGAAGGCTGGTCCTTTGAGGATGCTAAGGACTTGGTTAATTAGAAGATGAAAGCTCTTTAGAGAACCAGAACATCAGTCTAGATGCCTTTGGTATCCTGTCTCTTGGGAGTGTTAGCCTGGTGCCTCTGGAGCCTCTTTACAGCATCCAAAGGAAGGGGTGGGCAAGGATTAAGGAACTTTTTGCTTCTGGGGGAGAAACTATTGTCTCTTCTAAAAAACTGGGTTACCTTGAGCTCTGCAATATCTAAAAATCTCTCTTGCCAGCAGGGACAAATGGACCTCCCTTTCCTATCCTTCTCTGCAAACTGCAAAAATCCTGACCCCTATAGCCAAGGCTAATTTAGGCTGCTTCTCTTCCTGTGTCTCAATCAAAAGAGTATGTTCCTTGTGATGAGATTATGAAAGTTACCTTTGGAGTAAAAGAAAAATTCAAAAGTGTCCATAACTTAGACATCACAAGCTTAAGAGAGGAAGAAGGGAACAAATTCTATCATTCCACAACTCAAGTTTTATGGCAGTATCTACTCTAGAACTCTATTTTGTCTTCTGTTTGCAACTGAATTAATTTGATCGTTCCATTAAGGGGACAGCATTTTTGTCTTTAACCCAAGCTACGGCAGACCAGGTTAAAAGGCCCCCATCTGGTTACAATGCCAAAGTCTGCAGCAATAGGCAGTGAGACACATGCTACTTGATCCTCTCTAAGGACAGCTAGCTGGGGTGAATAGATTATAATCATCTGACGTAATGGAACAGCTATGCCAAGACTGAAGGCAGTGGGGGTGGGGAGGTTCCATACCATTACTTCACCTTGTTAACAGCAAACAAGCCCCTTGTCCTCAAGTGGGAAGCAGTACAGACCTGGCTGCTCATCAGTGGCTCATTATTCACTGTATGTAGGGGCGTGGCAGGGGTACTAAGGGTTCACCCTGTGTCAAGGATGCGTGCAATATATAGATATATATCTATATATCTATATAGATATAGAATCACTAACTGGGCAACTGGAATAGGCACAGAAGTACAGCATCCCAAATCCTGCATGGGTAACAAGAAACCCCAAAAGGAGAAGCTGGAGCAACAGAGCAGCAGCAGCCTTCTGGGGCAGATGTACTCAAGCCAAATGTAACCACAGATTGGCAGAAGAGGGAAGTGGGAAAACAAAGGCAAAAACTCACAGGAGCTTTCCTTGGCCAAAAGTATTTTCAAGTTAAATAGCAACCCCCATCCCCCCTCCCCTCTGCCCAACCCCTGATCCCCATTCACATGCTCACGCTCCATGCCCCCACTCCAGAACAGATGACAACTACTCAGCTAGCTTTCCATTCACAGCAGTGGAGGAGTAACTGGTGGGAAGAGGGATAGAGGCACCTTGTTCAGCCATCTCCTTTGACAGGTCAAGGCTGGAAGCCCTGTAGTGAATGGTTTGAGGCTGTTGGGGCTCAGGCTGGACCCTGGACAGCTTAGGGATGCCATAAGTGATGCCCACAGGCTTGGACTGGGACAGAGGACTGGGGCTGAATCCTCCAGAACTAGAGGAGCAACTGGGCTCATCAATAGGCAGCAACATATCTTGAGGCCTGGCCCTCACACTCTGAGAGGCCTGTGGTTGCAGGTTATAACAAGGGACCATGGGCAGGGGTAGGTGTGTAGGCCGAGAGAGCTGAGGCCTGAATATCCCAGGTGCCCTTGGCTCTAGATCTGGTACTGACAGCAACATTGACATGGCCACAGGAGGTATGCAACAGGTTGCCTGTTGGCAGGCATATGGAGACTGACCAGAAGACCCATCCAACTGGTTGGGAGTTATCCAGGCGGGGCCTGGTCCCACTGGGAGAGCACAGGAAGCCCAGGCAGGCCAGTCATAGGCCCCTGGTGGTTCAGTATAAAGGGACAAAGGACTGTCTCGGCCCCATTCTTCTTCCTCCTCTTCATTTGAATCTTCCTGCTGAGCGTGAAGCTCATCAGACACTATGTACCCTTGGGCAAGGTGGGAATTGGAGAGCTCCAGTTCCAAGGTTTCCGCAGTGTCCAGGGAGCGACTCCTTCTGTTGAGGGCCATAGCAGCAGGTGGAGGCCGAGGGTGCATGCCAGGCAGTCCCAAGTAGCGAGGGAGACTGCTCACACCCCAGGGCAGACCTTGGTAGAATCGGCTATGGTAGTTACTGAATGTGTGTTTCTGGTAGTAGCCTAGCTCAAAAGCTTCCAAGGAGGCTGCAAGGTCATCATTGTGGAACTCAGGATTCTCTTCACACTTGCCTTCCCCATCCCGTTCCACATCAGCAATATCAAAAGTAACCATAGGGGGCAGTTCAGGGAGGTTTTGAGTGAAGGATGAGTCAGAGTCAGAGCTGCAGGACATGCTGGAGAAGATGTTCCCACTGCTGGTGAACTCCACAAGGGCCTGTGAGAAACTCACAGTGGCATTCCCTTCCTTTTCAACCTCTTCTTCTTCTGGCTCCTCAGGGGGTGAATAAGTAGGGTAGGCCCTCCTGGGAGATCCTCCAAAGCTTGCTTCTTGCATGTCTGGCTCAAACATAGCATCACTTTGGAAGAGCTGCATCAGACAGGTACTTTGATCTTTCTTGGAGCAGATTCCTTCAAAACGCTTCTCCAGAGGACGGAAGTCCCTCCAGTCTGGTTCACTGCTTGCAGTGGCAGGAAAAGCTGAGGTGGTTCTCCGATGGGAAGTCTGAGAGGCCCTTGAAACCCCTGCTACCAGGCCCATCACTGATGGGCCTAAAGGCCTCATCTGATATTCCATGATGGGTTTCTCTTGCCAGGCTTGAACCTCTTGGACTTGAGACTCTTGAGCATGGGCCTCTCGGGCCTGGGCTTCCCTGGCATAGGCCTCTCGGGCTTGGGTCTCTCTGACATGAACTTCTCGGGCATGGGTCTCCCTGGCATGAGTTTGTTGGGTATAGGCCTCCCTGGCGTGAGCCCCTCGGGCACGTGCCTCCTGTGCCTCTCGGGCCTCAAGCTGCTCTCGCCGAAGCTCCCAATACAACAACTGTTTCTGGATGGTCACTAGCCGTTCCTCCTCTGTCTCCATTGCCCCAGGTGGCCGAGAGGAAGAAAAGGGCTCAAAGTTCAAGAAGGGGTCAAATATCTCAGAGCTGTGACCATGAAGGTCATAAAGACAGTCATCTACAGGTGGGGAGGTCTCAAGACTATCATCCGGCTCATAGAACTCATACAGGGCATCTCCACTGTAGCTGTCTCGGGGCAGACAATCCCTGCGGACAAGCCCCAAGGCCTCACCTGAATCATCCTCAAATCCAGGTGTTGTGGAGTCATAATAACCTTCATCACTATTTGGGGCAGAATCTTGCTGGTCACTCTGAGGAGTCAAAAGGTCCCCAGGGGCTAAGCCAGGATAAGATCGAATTGAGTCTAGAAGCATGTAGTCATGGTGGCCTGGGGATGTGACAGGATGGTAGCCCAAATTCAGATTGGACCTTGAGTATATCTGGGCACTTGCCCACAGATATTCTAAGTCATAATCCTCTTCCTCCTTGGCACCCTCTTCTTCCTCCTCTAATTCCAGCTCTTCCTCCTCTTCTTCCTCCTCTTCCTCATCATCATCATCTGGCAAAGCCATCTCCTCCCCACCTCCTTGGTAGGTCACCAGGCAGGAACTTCTCTTGGTCCCATCTCGATTTGCCCTCTGGCCTCCAGAGGCCATGCTGTCTGTCATACTGTCCATGTCCTGCTCTGCTATAATGTCACCACAACCTGTCAGTGAGTCAAAACTTTTCAGGGATGTGACATCCCCAAACAAGAGGCTTAGCTGGTCCCCAACATGGCCATTTGGTGGATTTACCTCTTCTGCCTCCACCTTCTCCCCTGTTTCTGAACTGTGGTACTCCTCTAGGCCAGTGGATTCAGAGGCAGGTTTGGGCTGCAGAAGTGCTGAGGCATAGGCCTCCTTGGGTTTTTCTGGATCTTTGCAGGCTGTCTTCTCAGTGACTGCTGGAGAAGGCTCTGGTACTAAAGTAACTTTTGGCCCAGTAGAATTTTGGGGTTTGGCATTTTCCTTTCTGGGGGCTTGGAGGATATCCTCAGTATGGGCCAGAATGGCTGAGTTCACATGTTCCTGAGGCCTGGCTCTGGCCCCTCGAGGCCCCTTAGCACCTAGCTCACTTTGTTCAGCCCCAGAAACCTTGCTTTTCCGGTGACGGCGGATACTGCTGAAAAAACCTTTCAGTCCTTTCTTTGGCTTGGGCACAGAAGGAGCCTTCTCAGCCCCAGCTTTCTCTGTGGCTCCAGCTGCAGATGTCTTGCATCTGGAGCCGGTCTCCAAAACCCCATGGGCACTCTGGGAACTGGGAAGTTGGCAGGGTGATTCAGGCAAGGGTAAGGCAAAGCTGGTTCCTTCAATGACAATATCTTCAGGGCCACAGGCTGCTTCATTCAGGCCATCATGGGTCTTACTCTTGCTAAGATCCTTCTTGGAGAAGCTTTTGCCAGAACCTTTGCTTCGCCCTCCTCCAAAGAAACTAGGTAGGGTACAGATGCCCTTCTTGCCACCAAAAAGTTTCATGGCAGTTTTCCTCAGCCTACCTGGACCAGATGATGGTGGCTCTGATACTGTCCCTTCTGTTATCTCAGCTGCCTTGTTCTTGGCTCCTTTCTCTGCCCTTTGGTCCTGGGTGTCCATAGAGGCTACTGCTTCCTTGGTCTGAGAAGCTTCATCCTTTCCAGTCTCCATGGTGATGGGGACAACTCAGGTATGTTCAGCTAGAAAAGCAGCCTTCTGGCTTCCAAGCAGTGTTACATCATCAGTCAGGAAGCATCCCAGTTGGATCCCTAGAGGAGATGAGAGGAAAAAAATAGAGTATACTGGTAAGCAAGCAGCCAGGCTGGGTTTGTTTTCATAGGTGTCTGTTATTTCAGACTTGAGAGGAACCAGAACCAGAAAGAAAGTAAAAGAAAATGTAGGGAAAACTTAATGCATTCCATATGGTTGGCTTGCTGGGCCAGCCTCCTCTGGGCCCCAAGGCAACAAAACCCTACATTAAAACAAGAGACAGCCCCTCATTGGGTTCATTCCCTTCAGGCCACCCTAGTCCTATAACACTGGCCAGGGGTATCTGCAGATGTGGGAAATACTCACTTGTGCTACTGACTGCAGGAGGAATTATCAAAGGGTTAAGGTAGGGGGAGGCTGGAAAGGCAGCAGCTCTGATGACAGAATTTTTTAAGATCATTTGGCAAAATAGCCCATTGAGTCCTCACTGGTCTCTGCAGGACCCAGGCCTCAATTTCACATTAGTCTGGGTTCTCACTGACATTTTTCCTGGGGCTAGAAAGAAAAGTATACCTGAAGTTTCACCTCTTCTCCCTAGGCTCCCTAGATTGCCTACATGCACAGACTCAGACCTTCAGAAGCCCAGAATAAGAACCTCACAGATCCATATTCCAGAGATGCAATCCAGGATCTGCTTAAAAGCACATGGTGGTTTTGAGGCAAGGCACTCTCTAGACTTCAGTGTCTTTGGTCCAAGAGGCCTAGCAATACTTGCCCCTCAAAATGGTTATGTGAGGGGTAGGTATAGGTCAGATTCTATTGACTGTTCTGCTGGGAAAAATTTTTAATGTGGCTCTTGGCAACTGGAACCCCATGTTCCACTTTAGAATTGTGAGGCAAACTATTTCTTCTCTACTGCCTTCATTATTTTGGCCCCGATCTAGCTCCCTATCTAGAAAGGGAACTCCTTGAAGGCATAACTCCACATGATTCATGTTCCTAGCCTAGAAGTTAGGCTCTCAACAGCTATTAAATAAATAAACCTGGTACAAGGCACACCCTTCTGGTCTCCCAATTCTCCAAACATCCAAATGCCACAGAGATGGAATAAAAATGACTATTCACCACCCACCCCAACACATGTCCTCCACCCCAAGTCTGATATATTCACTCTAGTGACTCCGGCTGGTTGACAGATGGATCAATGACCAGCCTGCTAAAACCTGATGACCTATCTCTGGAAAGTTCCTCACCACTGTGTCCCCTCTCTGTAGGACAGCCGCTAGTAGACAGGGAGCTAGGGTAAACAAAGGAGGCAAAACAACTGCTAGGAACCAGAAAGAGACAGGCAAGCCCTGCTGGTATCCCAGGAGTAGTTTGTCAGCACATCAACCTTATAATTGTTTGCAACAGTGATAAGACTCACATATTCACCTGCAGTGGAAGATTATGGACCAGCACTGGGGGTAGAGAGACTGGCAGCTTAACTAGTCCCTGACCTAATCAGAGGAACCTTCCTGGAGCCCCTGATCCTGTCCTGCAAACATTAATTTTGTGCCTTGCACCTTGCTTGGCTTGACAGTTGAACTATCAGTGTGACCAGCCTTCCATCAGGAGCACTCTGCATAACTGATTATTAAACTTGGAGCAAGATAATGGCTGGTTATCCAGAAAATAAAAGAGAAAAGATATCACCTGATCCCTTCTCTGTAGAGATAAGTAATATCATTTGCTCAGGTTAGGGTTTGTTTTTTTTTTTTTTTCCTGGATGACATATTTTTACATGATATTGTTCCAGCTCAGCTCCCCCTCCCCCATAAGAGTTATCCCTACAGTAAACACTGCCACCATCACCTCAAAATACACAATCCTGCACACACACACAACCATTCAGAGTCTTCTCCTCAGGGATAGGATGGGAACAGGGGCCCTATCATCTATCTGATAGATAATTAATTAGTTAATAATAAATAAATAAATAGAGATGTTTTTATTTCAACCCTGAAAATATTGACAGTGTTGTCATTTATGGTGCTAGACATGGGAGAGATGGGACAGCAGTGGTGGAGTTGTTCATGAAATTGTATTCCCCTCTATGGAATTTATTAAACTCAACCTCTCCTAAACATTTGGTAAGTAATAGACATTGAGATTAGTTTTGCAAGGTAGGCCAAGAAGGGAGAACCCCTAGCTAGTGCTTTTGGTGGGAGTACCTATATGTAGGATACAATATAATACAGGTCTTAAAGAAGATTCCCCCATCTTAAGATGCATGGTGGAATATTGTTCTTTATACCTAGCTATCATACCCCAGGATAAATCTGAAAAGCAGAAAGACACCCCCCAGGCTCAGAAAAGCTACCTTGAGGAGAAGGCATTCAATCTAGGCCTTGTCAGACAGGAGTTAGTAGAAATGGCAATAATTTAGGGGAAGGGATGAATGAGACTAGTAAGTATGGCTGGGCATCAGGAAGACCAAGGGCCAAGAGAAAAACCTCACAGGCATAAACATCCTTGTGGACAAAAGGCTGAATTTCCCTGCTGGGTTTGGGGATGGAGTTCCCATGAATGGAGGGATTAGGCAAATTGAATCTTAAAGAGGGTTGCTTTCCAGAAACTTGATGCCCTGGCTACAAGACAGTTCCTATAGGCCTTCTCTTGACCTTGCTCCTGAGCTCCACTAGGGTAAAAGCCAGACCACTACTTTCTACATTGTCCCCCTCCCTGCCACATGAATCTTCAGTGTGTTGTGGAAGGAGCCACAACACATGTTAGGGTTCCAGGCCATGCTAGGGGACCCTAAACAGGCCAAGGCACCCTTCTTAGGCTTGAGAACTTATGGAGATCACTAGAGTGGTATAAGAATTACATGACATAATGGACACTAAACAGACTTTGTAAACAGTAAAGTGCAGTGCAAATGAGAAAGATTAACATTACTGTTATTATTATCATCTTCCAAGTCAGATCCCAGTTTCTTAGAAAGTAGTAGACCACATGTAAAAGGCCACTTATTTGGGAAAGGCATTCACTGTGAGGAGCCGGAGGGACCAGTTATCTTGGCCATTCTGAGGAAGAGCCAGGTGTGGGGGATTTTAAAAACAGGAGCGTGGATTTATATAAAGTCCTCTGCTAAGGGTAGTTTTAAAAGTGTGTGTGTGGTGAGAGTGGGTGAACTAGGCAGGCATATCTCTGGACTGGGATTCTCTCCCTACAACTTCAGGCCTTCCTCCTAAGTAGAACCAGGGTGTCATCTTTGCTGGCAAGGACCAGCCTTGAAGTTACTGTCTCCCATTCCCTACCTTGTCCTTCCCAGGGCATGTACCTCCCTACAGCCACCCATAATGTTTATTATGTCTCCCCAAGACAGCAGAACAGGAGGTGGCAAGGATCACCCATAGCTGGTATCCCCCTAGCCCAGCCTATCTAGCTACCTCTACCTCTGGCCCAGATCCCTTCTCCACTCCTTGCTACCCTACCTGGTCCCATTGCTGTCCTTCCCTAATGGGCTATGTGCCTTTATTTGGGACCACAGAATCAACTGGCCAGTAGAGTGAAGTGGGGCAGAAGGCAGAGGACTGCAAGGGACAGACTCTGTAACCCTTTCAGGTTGGAGCTGACTCCCCTCATGGTTCCTGCCAAGAAAGTGGTCCTGCCAGATGCAGGGCCCCTCAACCCTTGGGTTTCTCAACCTGTGTGGCTAAGTTTCTGGTGGACTGGTGGGTAAGGGAATACTCTAAGGGTACTCTGTGATCCCTGCTGTTTATTGCAGTTGCTTCTGTCATGGCAGGGAGTGGGATATGGTCATCTCTGCTCCCAGGACCAGCCTCAGGTCATGCTGGGACCAGTGGAAGGCTGGCTGCTAGGGCAGAACTTGTTTTTCCTCCCTTCCTCTCAAAACACAAGCAGGAGACCAGACACAAACTTGCCCCAGGAATCCTTCTTAGTGAGGAGGAAACAGCTGCAGCCTGAGACTTACATATTTTGCTCCCAGCCCAGCTTCCTAGGGCCAGTTCAGCCAACTTAGAGTTAAGGGAAGAAGTCTGTGGATTCATATAGTAGCTCCAGAGGCATGACCTTAACCAGTCATACTTCCCTAGACCTCCACCAAGCAGCTTTCCTGGGGGCAAGACTACTCTGCGCCCATCTTGTGCTTGCATATGGGAGCATGGTAACTAAGGAAGCCATGCTAAGGATAGGAAGTCCTTCCTTCAACAAGAGTAGGCCAGTTCTGCACTATAATCAGCTCTGCCTACCTGGGGGAAATCCAGCAAGTTCCTTCAGTTTCCTCAACTGGAAAATGAGGCTATTGAGAGTGTCTATCTCTAAAAACCATTGTAAGGAACAAAACCAATTTATATATGTATACCAAATAAAATTCAGTATATAGCAGAGGCTCAAAAACATAGCAACTAATTTTTTAAAATATTTTCTTTAAACTATAGTTGGACAATTTCCAGCAGCAAAACTCCTTGTTTTTTGTTAAGTCACCAAAACTCCTTGGGCCTCAAAACCCCCAAGTGGTAAATGAGGGTGACTATGTAGTTATCTCACAGGAGGCTTTAGCTGTTATTTTAGCCAACCTTTGATGTTCAGGGACCTAAAATGTTGCCTCCAGTCAGCTAGTGGTTAGCAGCTCTGGATTATTTGGGAATTTCAACTAGCCAGGGTCTCTAGTCCAGAAAGGTAAACAATTCAAATTCAGTTAAAGGTATCAACATCAAAAGAAATGCAAATCAACAGACACCCTTCACCCAATGGGGCACTTACCAGGTTACAAAGCACAGCCCACTCCTTCACCTCCCATTTGCCATTCCCAGAAATCCACTAATAAGTCCTGTTAGGAGATACAAACTCCTTGTCATCTTGTCACAGAAAAGGAAACTATCTAGACTCCAGGAGAAGTCTTGAGTAAACTGACACAGTGGGATGGTGACAGAGCTACACCAACCCCCAGGCTGCTGGAGTTCCCCTTCCAATGCCATTTTGCTGCACAGGGCTAACTCCCAATTGAAGGAGGAAGACTGAAAGCAAGGACTGTACAGGTTCCCCTCCTA